GAGGAGGGAAGAGAGACAGAAAAAGACCCCAAAAAATGGAGAGAAAAAGACAAAGAGGATATAGACAAAGAAACAGGGAGGGGAGAGAGAGAGACAGAGGGAGACACATGACAAAGAGGATGAAACTTGAGTCTCTAAGCCGATGCAGTTTAGCACCAAAGGAATATCCTTCCAAGAAGGGTTAGATCCCTAAACCAAAACATGAGGCCAAGAATCTATCTGTACCTGCCCACTGACTTTCTTCTCCACAGCCTTTGGCAGGTTAGTAAGCTTTTGTGCCCTATTAATGAACCCCAGACTTCACTCAAATAGCTCCCCCTGGGATCTCCCCAGGCTTTCTAATTCAATTCAACAAATATTCGGTAAGACCCGTTTGTAAGAAAAATACAGTGTCCAGAGCTGGAGGGGAGGGAAAGGGAAAGGGAAGGGGAAAGGGGAAGGGAAAGGGAAAGGGAAAAAGAAAGAATGTAAGTTCCTAGAGAATAGGGGGAAATGTCTTGTTTTCATGTCCTCATCACCAAGCTCAATGTCTTACACCCAGTAAGCACTTAATAAACACTTTATGTATCTATCTTGAACCCTTCTAACTGGCATTAGGCATCAGCTCTTGTCATCCTGAGCTGTCAGTTACCAGAACTTTAATCACAGTGGGTATTTCTGATGCATATAAATGCTGTGCCAGCTGATTCAGCCTCCATCTCTTTATGAATTTATTTTAAGTTTATTTTGGAGCTCTGAGCAATAATAAAAAAAATCATTACCGGCTGTAATAGTCTTGGCAGGGGATTTGGCATTTCAATTCATCAGAGATCACCCCGAGATTATTAAAAAAAAAAAAGAAAAGAAAAGAAAAGAGAACGCCTGTTGTATGTTGATGAAATATAACTTAACCAGTAAAACCCTGCTATTAAAAATCAAAGACAGTATTAAAATTTCATTAGTGTGAGTTTTGCGGCCAAAATCTAATGACAGAACAAATTGGATCCTTGCACAAATAAAAGGGTAATCGCTTTTTAATGCCCCTGTTATTCTTAGACAATTGATGGGCATTTACTTCTGACTTCCCAGTTGTCGGGTACAGAATGGCTTTCCTTAAATTATGGTCAAGACCAATTTTCTGCCATTATTTTCAACGTGGAGAGATTTAATGTGGAGAAGTGGCGAGGGAATTCACAAGACTTATTAGAGGAGCTGGTCAACACGAATGTGTGCACTTAATGACCGCATGATTGAGGCAGGAGAGAACAGGACAAAAACAGGGAAAGAGATCAAGCTTTGTTCTTTTAGAGAGAGTCTGCAGTGAGCTCATCACCCTGAGAGTCCTAGTGCTCCTGGCGTGATCTGGCCATCAACAACCCACTGAATTACCAGTCTTTGGCATGGCTACTGAAGGCCGCCATGTTCATATCATTTTTAGACTGCCAACGTACTGCCCCGGTATCCACCAAAAAGCTGGTTAACTCAGTTATGCTATTCATTATTCTAACATTGTATTTAACTGATGTTTTCTCATGGAATTATTCAGAAGAGATCATAAAATTATAGAATCCTGATCTGGAAGGTCATCCAAGTCCAATTCCTTCACTTTGCAGATGTAGAAACTGAGTCACAAGGAGATTAAGAGACTTGCCCAAGGTTTCTCAGGTCCTAACCATCAGAAGTAGGATTTGAACCCCTGACTCCAGAGGCAGGGCTCTTTCCACTATAAAATGCTGCCTTTATTGATTGTTTCGGAATCGTACAAGTGGAGATGATGAAAACTTTCCAACAAGTAGCACTTTCCCAAAGTGGCATAGGCTGCTTCCCCATCATTAGAAATCTTTGAACAGAGATTGGATGACTGCTTATCAAGGATTTTGTAAAAGTTAGTAGATAAGTGTGCTGGACTTGGAGTCAGAGAGTCCTGGGTTCAAATCCTTCCTCAGACACTTACTAGCTGGGTAACCCTGGGGAAGTCTCTTAATCTCTATCACCTTCAGTTCTTCATTTGTTCAATGGGAAGGCTAATGGCTGATATGACAAACAAATGAGCTAAGTGGTGCAGTGGGCAGAATGCTGGGCTTGGCATGAGGAAGACCTAGGTTCAAATCCAGTCTCAGATACTTTCTAGCTGTATGACTCCGGGTAAGTCATTTAACCTCCCTCTGCCTCAGTTTCCTCAACTGTAACATTCAGTTGTTCAGTCATGTCTGACTCTTTGTGACCCCAGTTGGGCTTTCCTTGGCAAAGATACTAAAGTGATTCGCCATTTCCTTCTCCATTTTACAAATGAGGAAACTGAGACAAACAGCATTAAGTAACTTATCCAGTATCACACATCTAGGAAGTGTCTGATGCTGGATTAGATCTCAGAAAGATGAGTCTTCTTGACTCAGGCCCGGCACTCTATCCATTGTGGGAATAACAACAGCACCTGCCTTCCAAGGTTATCATAAGACTCAAATGAGATTATAAGTGTAAAGCACCCTGAAAAACTTAAAAGGCTATAACAATGCATGTTTCTATTATTGAAAACCCTTTTCAAGCTTTGTAATGCTTTGAAAATGTCAGCTATTATGATTTTTATTCAGGTGTATGTTGGACTACACTGTCACTGAAGTCCTTCCAGTTCTGAAATTTGATGGTTCAATGAGGACTGAACAACTTTAAACATCCAGCTGTTCTACAATTAGGGCAAACCTCCTCAGCTGTCCCATCCTTAACTTTCTCCTCTGCAAAGCAGTGATCATCATATCCAAAGCCCCTCCTTCACAGGGTTTCCTGATGCTCAAATGGGATAATAAATGTCAAACATGTTGGAAACCACAAAGCAACATATAAAAGAACACTCATACTGCTGGTATTCATCTTATTTTTCTTTATCAAGGGCATTAAGATAGAAACGGTCCTCTTACAAGTTGCTGTCCTGCTGTCAGTCATTTATATTTAATATTCTGTGAACTACTGCACAGGTGGATAACAAAATTAATTGCCCTTTGCGATCGGATAAAAGAATTGGGATGTAAGCTCATCTGCAAGCTCCCTGAAAGCATCCTTGGTACATCTGCAGTAGCAGACAGGATGATGGGGAAACCGATGCATACCTATTCCTGTAGCCATGTGGATTTGATTTCTTCTACTCTGTCTCTGCATTTTGAAAGTTCTCCATTTTACATAGCTTGGAGATGATGAGTATTGGGGATGAGGGCATCAATCAGAATCATTGTTCCTAGATTGTTAGAGATCGACGTTATGTCCCAGCAGTTGTGAGCAACTGAATTTTTTCAGTGACAATTATATGGTTCTGGTTCAATTTACTTATTGAATCTCAGGGACATTTTGAAGCTTGTATTTATTGTGCAGGGATTTGTTATCTATCTATTACTTATGAAGGATCCTGAGCTTCTGGTGTATAATTCTGATTTTCCTTTTATTATCTTTCTTTTCCTCGTCTACATATCAAACGATTCAGGGGAAAGTCACTGTCTTTATATTTAGTATTCTAAGGAACATTTGGACAGGGGGATAAGATATTTTTTGTTAAATAAGAGTAATAGTAGTTAGCATTTTTTATGGCACTTTAAGGTTTGTAAAGCATCTTCTAGCTATTTATTTCATTTGATCCTCACAACAATCCTGGGAGGTAGATGTTATTATTCTCGTTTTACAGATAAGGAAGTATCTGAGGCTGGATTTGAACTCAGGTCTTCCTGACTCCTGGCCCACTCCACCACCTAGCTCCCAAGCAAACTCATCTTCTATAGGCTCATTGAAACCATCCTTGGAACAACTTCAGTAGCAGACAGAACAAGAATAATAATAATAATAATAATAATAATAATAATAATAACAACAACAACTAGCATTTATATAGCACTTTAAGGTTTATAAAGTGCTTTACAAATATTATCTTGCTTTATCCTTACAACAACCCTCGGGGGTGGGTGCTATTATTATCTCCATTTTGCTGATGAGGATACCGAATCAGACAGAGGTTAAGTGGCTCGCCCAAGATCATACAACTAATAAGTGTCTGAGGCAGTATTCAAACTGAAGTATTCCTGACTCCAGGCTCAGTGCTCTGTGCACTATGGCACCACCTAGACACCAAAATAGTAGGAGATAAACTAATCACTTGTAGTGTCACCAAAAGCATCTGTGGTACAACTCCAGTAGCCAACAAGACAAAAGAGATAATATTAAGTAGTAGAAGAAGTTGACAATAACTACAGGTAGCCTTTATATAGTGTTTTAAGGTTTATAAAGCACTTCACAAGTATCACCTCTAATCTTCACAACAACCCTGGAGAGTAGGTGCTGTTATTATCCCCATTTTACAAATGAGGAAACTGAGGCAGAAAGAGGTTAAGTAATTTGTCCAGAGTCACCCAGCTAGTAAACATCTGAGATAAGATTTGAACGCATCTTCTTGATTCCAAGTTCAAGACTCTATCCACTACAATGACCCTATCCTTTGATCTCTTTGGCCAGGTCTTCAGGCTTTGAAAACTTTTCATCCCATGTAGCTTGGAGATTATGAGTATTTGAAATAGTAACACCTGTTAAAACACATTATTTTTGCTTTTATGAATCAATATTATAGTTGGGTAATTGTGGGTAACAGTTTGGTTCATGAAAACGATCTAGTCCTGGTACCATTTATTTGTTGAGTTCTCCTGGATATTTTGAGGTGTGTATTTTTAATAGGGGGATGTTATCTGCCTTTCCATAAAAAATAGTGCACTTCTGAGGCATGACGTTAACCACCAAGTTATATTTTGTTAGGTTTTCTGTTTGTGTTCAATTTTTACAGCCTGTAGAAAAGTGTTGCATCATCTCCACTGATCCCTTGCTTAATCTACACTGGTCATTAAGACTGGGCTTCTTGAGGATAATGCTTCCCTAGTTTCTTGTAGTAATGTCCTAACCCTGCACTGCCACCATAAACCCTGCTTCAGAGACTTGCTAGCAATGTGACTTCCCAGGGTTTTCATCCATTGTTTCCCTCTGTTTCCCATTAGGACACCAGCCATGATTGGCTGCTCATTTGTGGTGGACCGGGAGTATTTCGGGGACATCGGTCTGCTTGACCCGGGCATGGAGGTGTACGGTGGGGAAAACATCGAGTTAGGAATGAGGGTAAGTGACAGGAGCTGGCCAGACCCATCCTTGAAGAGTGGGTTCAAAATTCAGGCTTCCCAGAAAAATGCATTCTTGCAACAATGGGACGTGTGGTGGAACCAGAATACCATGCAATGTGCATCCCTTTTGAAAGGGCTATTACATGTAAAACAGACTAGATACTGAGTCCAAGGGGTTGGGGAGACTGAATGAGGCCCAATGGGTGGGAGTACTAAAGAGGGAGATTTTGGATCACTATGAGGAAGGGTTTTCTAGCAATTAGAACAGTCAAGAAATGGATTGGCTACTCTATAAGGTAGTGAGCTCCCTGTCATAAGACAGATCCAAGCAGAAGTTGAATGGCTAAATATCATGAATGCTTCAGAGGGGATCCTTCTGTTTGGGAGGGAAGATGAGCTCAGTGACTCAAGTTCTAAGGCTCTATGATTCTCAGACTCCATGTCTGTTTACTTGGTGTAGTCTATAGGACACGTGCTGATGTGTTTCTCTGATTTTTCAAAAAGCATTTCCTTTGAATGAGTGCTTTTAGGACTGTGAAGACCAGGCCTCCCATTCTAGGAGCAATAACTTTGGTTTGTTTGTTTGTTTTATTCATTTTGAACTTAAATACATAAAGACAAAAAAAGAACCATTTCCATGTACACAGCACAGTATAAAAACAGGATTCATTATAAAACCATTAATTTACATTTCATACTATTTACTTCAAAAAAAACTATAAACACTACACCATTTTCAAAGCTACTCTCCTTTCTATGCTTCTTTCTAAATTTTCTTTTATTCTCCACTGTACACTTTTTGTATTTTTCCCTCCCTCCTCAATCGTGCCTAGAGATTGCTACCATTAGACGCAAATGTGTGTATACGTTTATGTGTGTGTGTGTGTGTGTGTGTGTGTGTGTGTGTATAAAACCATTCTACATATACTTCTATTTATCACTTCTTTCTCTGGAAACAGATAGCATCTTCCTTCATAGGTCCTTTGTAGTTGATTTGAGTATTTATAATATTCCAAATGATTTAGTCACTCAAAGTTGTCCTAAAAAAATTTCTGTTGCTATATGTGATATTCTCTTGGTTCTGCTCATTTCACTCTTCATTATTTCATGCAATGTCTTTGGTTTAAGGATTTTTAGTCCAGGTTCTTTTAGAGTGACTGTAGGCTCAGGTCTGCGTATTAGCAGTCTGAGAAGAGGGACAGAGAAGCAAGGTGAAGAATGAAGAGAAAGCGAGAGGAAGGAGAGACTAGTAGAGAGAGAAGGCAAGAAGTACAAAATCCCTTCCCTGATATAGCTGGGCATTTCTCACCGTGGACTTGGCCCCTTGGATCTGCCCCCAGAATCCTCAAAGTTAGACTCTCTATGTCTAACCATTTACTAGCTTTTCATCATTAAATAAGTGCAGGGATATGCTGATAAATATTTAACTATCAGCTCTCCAAGAAAAAATAAGCACTTATGACACTTTTATTAAAGATTTTTTTATTTCTTTAAATATTTCCCAGTTACATATAAAAAAAATTAACATTCATTTTTCAAAATTTTGAACTCCAAATTCTCTCCCTCCTTCCCACATCTCCCCCTCCTTGAGAAGGCAAGCAATTTCATATCAATTATATGTGTGAAGTTATACAAAAAATATTCTCATATTAGCTATGTTGCAAAAGAAAACACAGACATAAAATAAAACAAGAAAAATACAGTTTAAAACTATGCTTCAATTTGCATTGAGTTCCTCAGTTCTCTCTCTGGAGGTGGATAGCATTTTTCATCGTGGATCCTTTGGGATTGTCTTGGAGCATGGTATTGATCAGAGTAGCTAACTAATTCTTTCACAGTTGATCATCCTTACAATGTGGCTGTTACAATGTTCTTCTGGATCTGCTCACTTCACTGCATCAGTTCATATAACACTTCCCAAGTTTTTCTGAAGCCATCCTCCTCATTATTTTTTTCTTTTAAATGTTTAATTTTAGACAAATGCTAAAACTTAAATACATACTAAGAAAAGAGAAAGAGACATTATAAACATAAATATAAAATAAGAAAAGAAAAAATGTCATGTGCATAGCAGAACATAGGAGAGGATTCAAAATATATAGCAATAACTTTCCATTTCATCATAATTTTTAAACTGCATTAGTATACCATCAAAATCATATACCACAACCTGTTCATCCATCTCCCAATTGACGTGCAACCCCTCGATTTCCAATTCCTTGCCACCACAAAAAGAACTACTATAAATATTTTTGTGCAAATAGGTCCTTTTTCCTTTTCTTGGACCTCTTTGAGATACAAACCTAGTAGTGATATTGCTGGGTCAAAGGGAATGCACAGTTTTAAGCATAGTTCCAAACTGTCTCCCAGAATGGTTGGGCTAATTCATAACTCCATCAGCAGTACATTAATGTCTAATTTTTACACATCCCCCCAACATTTGTCTTTTTTTCTGTCATGTTAGCCAAACTGATAAATGTAAGGGAATATCTCATAACTGTTTCAATTTGCATTTCTTTAATCAGTAGTGGTTTAGAGCATTTTTTAATGTGACTATTGATTGCTTTGATTTCTTCTTCTGAAAACTGTCTATTCATATCCTTTGACCATTTGTCAATTGGAGAATGGCTCATATTTTTAATAAATTTGACTCAGTTCCCTATACAGCTGAGAAATGAGGTCTCTATCAGAGAAACTCGCTGTAAAATATTTTCCCAGTTTCCTATTTTTCTTTCTAATGTTGGCTCTATTGGTTTTGTTTGTGCAGAAAATTTTTAATTTCATATAATTAAAATCAATCCATTTTACTTCCTGTGATCCTCTCTATCTCTTGGTTGGTCATAAACTCTTCCCTTATCCATAGATCTGACATGTACCAGCTAGCCATGTGACTTTGAGTAAGCCCCTCTCTGAACCCCTTAGGTTCCTCAACTGCAAAATGAGGTCAGACTAGGTGATCTCTCTCAAGCCACCTTCCAGCCCTTCAGGCTGGAAGGGATTGATTGAGACTCTGAAATAGACATAGAAGCTGGTTTGGCTTAACACATGGTACTTGATTTCTGGAGGGAGTTTGACACTCATTTGGACCAGGAGAAACTGGAAGGAGCCTGGCAGATAAGCTGTGTCACCAGCCCTGGGGACCGGAGCACAGCCACACACACACACACACACACACACACACACACACACACACACACACACACACACACACACACACACACACACACATTTATGGAGAGGACCAGGCTCATCAGAGAGTGCCTGTCTCTTGGAAAGCTGCTATACGTGGCAGTGATGGCTTCTTCCTGCTGCCTACTGCCAGGCAGGCAGTGGCTCTGATCACAGGCTTCCCATTTGCTTCATTCGGTGACAGAAATTGCTCAGTGGTCCTTGCTTCCCTTACTTCTCAGCTGCCTTGGGAGATTTCCAGGGCTGCTGATCTATTCTCTAAGCAGCCATGTGGAAAGGGTTTCAGACAGCTTTGAACATCCTAAGGAAGGCAGACACCTGGACCTGACCAGTCTCAGGAATGCATTGGCTCTCTTCTGTCTCTGCAGGGACAAAGACATCTCACAGTCACTTTCTGACTCTGGTCTCATGGCCTGGCCCAGAAGACAACTCTGGCTATATGGCAAGAGGCAGTGAGGTGGCACAGTACAGCAGGACTAGGAGTCAGGAAGGTCTGAGTTCAAATCTTAACTCAGTCAGTTACTAGCTGTGTGACTCTAGATGAGTCATCTACCCTTTCTCAGCCTCAGTTTCCTCATCTGTAAAATGTTGATAATAAGAGCATCTATCTCTCAGGATTATTGTGAAGATCAACTCAGAAAACATAAATAAAGTGCTTTGTGGACCCTAAAGTGCTTCATAAATATGAGTTATTATTGTTTCAATGGTCTCACCTTGAGAGACTATTGTCTACCCTGGGCCTGCTGTGACCCCTCCTCCCTGAAATTCCCACTTTACACTATTTCTCTGGCTTAGAAAGCAAAGATGGGGTTGCTATCTGTAGGAAGGAGGGGTCATTGGGCAAGAGTTCATATCTTCCCTGTTGAAACTTATTACCGGTGTGACTTTGGGCAAGGTAATTAAACTCCTTGGCCTCAGCTTCCTCATCCACAAAATGAGAGATCATTACAGCCAGAAGGGATCTCACAAGGTCACCTAGGCCAACCACTTCATTTGACAAATGAAGAAAATTATGCTCAGAAGTGCCTTGCTCAGTTACACGGCTAGTACGTGTCTGTGGTGGGTTTTGAACCTGGCTGTTTTTGCTTTCAATAAGCAGTAGATAGAGTGCCAGCCCTGGAGTCAGGGGGACCTGAATTTGAGTCTGCCCTTAGACACTTACTAGCTGTGTGACCCTGGGTAAGTCACTTTACTCTGTTTGCCTCAGTTCCCCAGCTATAAAATAACCTGGAGAAGGAAATGGCAAACTGCTCTCATATCTTTGCCAAGAAAACCCCACATGGGGTCAAGGAGAATCAGACATGACTGAACAACTTTTGGTTTTCAAAGGCTATGCTTTATTCACTACTCCACAGGACCTTCTAAGGTCTCTGCTCTGTATCTATGATTCTGTTATCTGTGATAAACATGTTCTGCATTTCTTTTGATGGGTCATTGGGCTCTACTTGTTATTAGGGAGAAGTAGTCTCCTCTTCTAGACCCCTCCCTTTAGAGCAGGCATTAATAATAACAGTAGCTGACAAATGTTGCTTTTTAAGGCTTATGGAACATTTTGTATCCATTAGCTGATGTGAGTCTCAAAATAAAATGGTGAGGTAAGTCATAATGATGATTATGATGATGGTGATGATAAACAGAATTAATACAGCACTTTAAAGTTTGTGATGTGCTGTTATAGGTTATCTCATCTGATACTTGCAGCACCCTGGTGAGGTAGATGCTATTATTATCCCCCTTTTACAGATGAAGAAACTGAGGTAGTCACAGGTAAAGTGACTTGCTCAAGGTCTCAGTTAGTGAATGTCTGAA